CAATGAATGGCCAAATTCCACCTCCTGTGATCACAAGAATCCTGTTACTGATAGCCCCACCAGAACCACAGACAGAGTGGGAGAGGAGGGCTTCTTTAGGCAAAGGGTGCTTGAAAACAACATGTTCACTTCAAATGTCTATATTCAAATTAATGTTTGCTAGGAAGAGCCAGAGTCACTGCCAGCATCCATTCACAAATATTTATTGAGCCAGACAACTATGCTAGATGCTGAGAATATAACATGAATAAGGCCTGATCCTTACCCTAGTCTGTCTCCTCTGTCTAAAACTGAATTCCTGGTTTCTCTCCTAATCTCCTTTACAGTTATTCCCATCTGAATAAATAGCAACTGCATTCTTCTAATTGCTCCAGTGAAAAAATCTTGGGAGAAATTCATGACTCCTTTCTTTTACACCCCACATCCAATCTGTTAAATCCTCTTGGCTTTTCCTCAAAATATATACAGAATATGATATGTCTTAGCACATCCACTGCTACCACCACAAGCCACCATTACCACCTAGGTTATTACAATAGCCTCCAAATCGTTCACCCAGCTTTGCGCTTTGCCCCTTCAGTATATTCTCAACATAGCAGCAACTGTGATCCTGTTAAAATATAAGCCAAAAACCTCCAACAGCTTCCTGTCTCACTAAAAGAAAAGCCAAAGTCCTTTCAATGAAGGCCCTGAAGGACCCTCATGACCCTTTTCTTCCATGCCCACTCCAACCTGTCTCACCTCACCTAATATCATTCTTTCTCTTGTCTACTCCATTCCAGCCACACTGGCCTCCATGCTGTTCTTCAAACAAGCCATACACACTCCAGCCTGAGCCTTTGCACCTCTACCTGGAAAGCTTCCCCCCAGATAATATATGGCTATTCCACCATCCCCTCATGTCTGTGCTCAAATGTCACTTTCTCAGTGAGGACCACTATTAAAATTGCAACACCTCACACTCACACACACACACACACACACACACACACACACACACACACACACATACCCTATTTCCCTACCCAGCTTTAGTTTTTTTCCTAAGTATTTAACATCATCTAAGATACTCTATGGAGCCCTGGTGGCACAGTGGTTAAGCATTTGGCTGCTAACCAAAGTGTCAGCAGTTTGAATCCACCAGCTACTCCTTGGAAACCCTATGGGGCAGTTCTGCTCTGTCCTGTAGGGTTGCTGTGTGTCAGAAACGACTCAACAGCAGTGGGAAGATACTCTATATTTTACTTATTTATCGTATGATGAGAATAACATGAAAACATGGAGTTTTGTCCGTTTCATTCACTCATTTATCTCCAGTACCTAGTACAGTGCCTGGCATGTAATAGGTGCTCATTAAATATTTGATGAATGAAAAATTATTGAATCTAGACGAGGGATACCTTATCAACCTTATTGTTACATAATATACACTATAGTATAATTCAAGGACGAGTTCAGAACTCTTCACTTATTGACTACCTCATTATCTGACATTTCACATTTATGACAATAGTAAAAAATCTACTGACTATTTTGCACATTAACGACGTACGTCTGGCAATAATGAATGTCAAGGTGCAAGGCGAGAGTAACGCTGGCTGTGATGTTGAAGGTTATGTGTCAGCCTGGCTGGGCCATGATTCTCAGTGGTTTGGCAGTTAATGTTAACGATGTAATCTGGCAGTTATGTAATGATGTAACTTGGCAGTTATGTAATGATGTAGTCATCCTCCATTTTGTGATCTGATGTGGTCATCCTCCATTTTTGCACAATTTTCACAAAACGACCTGGTCTTTGGAATCTAACCAAGTCAATAAGTGAGGAGTGGGTATATAGTACATGAACACAGTCCTCATTTATCAATCTTCCCAGGTTAATATAGCTTGAAAAAATGTATTTCTGATCTCAATGCTGTGGAACTAGAACACAAGTGGGTTTTCTACATTTCTCTGGCAGGAGTGCTAACAAGCCGTTTGTTCAAGCCCTAACTCACATCCTTGTTATGTTTGTGCAGTCCACACAACTAAATAGTTGCTTGGGTTTTTAATCTACACTTCCATTCCTTACTAGGACTGAAACTCTATTCTTAATCTCAGCCCTGACACTCTGTCTATCCAAGAGGTTAGATCCTGACTCCCACTCCATAGCTGTTGGCTAGGGTCCCACTTCACACAGAGTGATTCTCCAGAACCACGATGTTGCCAACAACAGATTCAGAATATTTCCAGAATCCAGAGAGTTCTTTTGCAACATCCCACCCACTAGCCTGGATTTTTACCTGATTTTCCTGGACTTTGGCAATTCCCTGTGGACCCTGTGATTTCCATTGCAGCTCTGCAACAGGGCTAGTTCTCCCAAGCTAATTCCTCTGGTTTCTAGCTTTCTCCCTTTCTCACAATATGCCTCACTGCTGTGCATACCTCACCTTTGACCTTCAGCCTGCACTGAAAGTCAGGAAAGAATTTGACTGCATTTGCCTAGTGAAAGCATGGTGTATTATTTACTCTAAGCTGTCTTTCTGAAATTTTGTATGCCTTGTTTACCAGGATGCTTAAAAAAAGTGAAGGAGAAAAAAAGGATGATTAAATATATCATTAAATGGTTTTCCTAACCATTTTTCCCCCAGTGGAATATGTTTGACTTCCAGCCTTTGGACAGCAAGACAATTTGTTTTGTAAAAAATTGTCCTGTCAAATGATTATGGATTCACAGCCATGTGGGATTACAAAATGAGCACTGTGATGTCTTTTAATCCCTAAACATCTCCAAAACCCCTCTAAAAATTGGCAAAATCCCTTTATGCTCTGGTTTATTTCTAAACCTAAAACTTCCAGGTTTAGAAATGAAATGGCATACATGAAAGCACTTTCAAAGTTCAGAGTTGTCTGGAAATGGACTCACATACATATGGAAATTTAATATAGGATAGATGTAGGATTACCAATCAGTGAAGAAGAGATGGATATTTAATACTGTTGAGACAACTGGCTAATCATTTGGGAAAAAAATAATGCTAAATTCTTATCCGATTCTCTACACTAAAATAAATCTCAGTTGTATTAAATATTTAAGCATAAGAGAAAAGAAACCATGAAACTACTAGATGAAAAAATAGGTTAACTTGTTTATAATCTTAGGAGAATTTTGACACAAAGCTTAAAATACATAGAAGACTGCTAAATTTGACCACCCACAAATAAAAACCTATACAGCCAAAGGCACTATTAAAAAGTCAAAAGATAAACAACAAATTGGGAAAAATATTTGTAAAGAAAATGACAGGCAAAGGGTCAATATCATTAATAATTAGTTATTATAAATCCTTAAAAAGCAAATAACTTAATAGAAAACATGATGTGTACAAAAGAAAGATATATAGCTAACCAAAATGTTAAAATTCATTCATCCTCCCTAATAACCAGGTCCGTAAAACCAAAAACCCATTGCCGTCAAGTTGATTCCAACTCATAGAGACTCTATAGGACAGAGTAGAACTGCCCCATAGAATTTCCAAGGGTCACCTGCTGGATTTGAATTGCTGACCTATTGGTCAGCAGCCATAGTACTTAATCACTACACCACCAGAGTTTCCAATAACCAGGTAAATGGAAATTAAAAATGGTTATTAAAACAAGAAATAAGATTTTTCACCTATTCATTGGCAAGATTATACAATATAATATCTAGGTCTATAGGGACTCTTTAGAGACTGTGATACTTTGTTATTAGAAAGTGACTTACTCTGGGTTCTCTAGAGGAGCAAAACAGTGAGGTATGGGTGTGTGTGTGTGTGTGTGTGAGCGAGAGAGAGGAAGAGAGATTGATTTACTTCAAGGAAATGACTTACAAAATTGTGGGGGCTGGAAAACCCCAAATCTGTAGGTCAGGTGGCAGGCAGGAGACTTCTGCAGGGTTACATCCCAGGAGCCAGAGGTCAAGCAACGAGAAGAGTGCAGGGTCTAGAGAGAGCTTTGCAGAACATCCATTTATATTTTGGAGGCAGACCCCACTTCCAAGGAAACCCCTTTCAACTGACTGGCTGATCACATCATGAACGGTGATTATATTACATTATGGAAGAGCAACCAGTCCAGTATCTGCCAAGCCACTGAGAATCACTGCCTATCCAAGTCGACACACAATATTAACCATCACAGTGTGTAAATTGCTACAATTTCTTCAGAGGACAACTTACCAATACCAAAAACAAAACAAAACCTGTTGCCACCGAGTCCATTTGGACTTACAGTGGCCTTAAAGGACAGAGTAGAATTGCCCTTTATGTTTTCAAAGGAGTGGCTGGTGGATTCGAATTGTCGACCTTTTGGTTAGCAGCCAAGCTCTTAACCACTGCGCCACCAGTGCTCCAACTTATCAGTAGACCTATCAAAAAATAAGTGTGCATACCCTATACTCTTCTAGGAATATAGCCTACCTCCACAAGCGTGCAAAGATATCTTTTCCTGAGTGCTCACTGTAGCATGATTTGTAATAACAAAAACTAACTGCTGATCAATAGGAGACTGGGGAAACAAATCGAATAACATGCTTCATTAAAACCTATCATGTAGGAGAATAGGCAGTGATATAGAAAGATTTCCAAATACATTGATATGGGAAAAATTAGGCCATAGAACCAGTAGTTTGAGTTAAAATATATACACAGTAACATGTTGTCTTAGTTATCTAGATACTTTAGAGGGACACAATTCAATCCATGACACATGTGTATGTAGAATTTCTGAATGCACACAAAATAGTGTTTTCACTACAAGAGAGTAAGACTAGGGGACAGAGGGAAGCCTCAAAGCCTGTAACAAATTTTAATTAAAAATCAGTCCTCCAGCAGTCAGTTTAAGACTGCTGTATTGGCTACTCTCAAAGTCATTGGTTCTAGTCATTGATTTTTGCATCGAAATTCATTCCGGATTTGCACTGATGAATCACTGAAAAACCTGGAGAACCACTCAAGAGGCTGCGAGTTAATGTTCCTCTGCTATTTGCTGCCGCTGTTTTAGAAAATCTAGCCCTGGTGGCAAAAGCAGTGGTTGAGTGCTTGACTGCTAACTTAACGGTCAGCAGTTGGAACCCACCAGCACCCAAGTGAGAGAAAGACCTGGCAGTCGGCTTCCACAAAGATTACAGCCTTGGAAACCCTATTGGGCAATTCAGTGAGTCAGAATCAGCTGGGCACACAATGACAAATCTTTCAGTTACTCGTTTAATCATATAATATCTGTATCTCCCATTTCGTCATTCATCGTTTTGAATTGCTTTTGAAAATAAACTTTTGAAATAAGATATTACTATCTAACTTCCATGAAACAATTCCGTAACACCTAGGCAGAACTGTTTTGCTTGTACGGAATCTCCGAGTTTTAACGAAATTTCACGCAGCTCTAGAGAAGACTGAAATATGAACAGTCCCTCCCTTGAAAATTATGTGCTTCTTCAACCACATTTTTCACCAGGCTTTTCCTTTTTTGCAGAAGTGTTTTTCCTATTGATGTTTACTTACAACACCCAGAAATTGTAAAGATAAAACGGGCCACCAGAGCTTCACACTTCATGCTTTCATAACTTCACGCCTTCGCTTGAGGCTCCGCGGCCATAGTGCCAGGTATGTGTTTTCGCCTCTGAAAACTGTTAAACAGCCTCCCCAAAGTGACGAACTCGATGGAGGCCCAGTTTTCAGGGCCGGGGTGTCACCGAAAAACGGGCAGCCAACGCCACCTCCCGCACGCTAGGCGCCAAGCGCTTACCAGGGAACGCGCGAGGCCAGCAGAGACTACAATTCCCAGCAGGCGTAGCGGGAGCGGCAATCGCTCATGCGCAGTCCGGACCGCGGAGTAAGACGTCTGGCTGCGGGGGGCTACTGGCGGCGAAAAATGGTGGGACTGCGGTTCCGATGCGGGATAGGCGGACTCTTCAAGGTGCCGGCGACGCAGCAGCGCAGGAGCCGAGCCTACAGCGTGTCCCAGGACTTTGCGGAGGTACTGCGGAAGCCGAAGAGGCAGCTCACAAAGCTGGTCTTCCCGCTGCAGGAGCTCGAGCGGCAGCTCGCCCCGGACACGAGGCCTAGCCTTCACCTGAAGCTCTTCGAGCCGAGCCTGGAGGACATAGCGAGAGCGGACGACCTGTTCACGGCCACCGACCGGCACCGCATCGAGTACCTCAGCTCCGCGGTCCGCCTCGAGCACGCCCCGGACCTCCTCCGCCCTGAGGTGAGCGCTTCTCTGCTCACGGTTTGCAGCGTGCGCGGGGAGTGTTAGACCGGGGTGGATTAACCAGTAACAAGGTACGCACGGGCTCGTTTGTGCGGATTTACTAATCTGTAGTGCACAGTTTCACATGATGTGATGAAAAACGGGTGAAATTGTGCACTACAGATTAGTAAGTCCGCACAAGTGAGCCCGTGCGTATCTCGCTTACTGGGCAGTCCGTCTCTGGGGTTAGATCTCGAACCAGAGACCGGCCGGGGCAGAGGCTTTGCGATCACTTCTTTTTCGAGGGGGGTCACCAAAGGGAGAGAGATTTTCTGGCTTTGTGTTGGTTAATTTTCTAGCTTTATGTTAACATGTAATTATTTCAACTAAGTAAGTATATATAGTTTTAACTATTTTGTTAATGAATACAGAATAAAAGGCTTAAAGCGTTAACAAAATTAACTGTTGTTTTATTATCGTTTTCCTATTTAATTGAATTCCTATTAATTGAATTTAAAACATGCTGAGACAAATTAGACAAAGTGAAGAATATGAGAAAGTTTAATAGTCTCACAAATGAGGTGATCCTTATCAATCTGTAATTTTCACACAATCTAAATTTCCTGTCATGTTCAAAACTGATGTGAAAGGTTTTTAAAACAACTTTTTATTAATTTCCTGAGTGTGCTTCTCATGAGTGTCCTAAGGATTAATAATATTTTGTTCTAAGTCTGTAAAAGAAAAGTTCTAAGTCTGCAAAAAGGAAAGTTCAAATGCTCTTCCATATTTGCAGGAACTGCACTACTGCACTGAAACTTTTCTTCTAAATCCATTTAGAACTGCTCTAGTGAACTGAGTGGTCAGAATTCAGAGAGGATATAAATTATTTAATAATTTTGACATAACACTGTTTTTTCAATTTAAGCTTCTAAATTACTGGACTTTGTGTAATTTGTTAAAAATTTTCAGTTTTATTTATATTTTAGCATTGAGTTTAATCTGGCAGGACATTCAAAATTCATGCAGGACTTAGTATCCCTGGCCCTTGCCTGCTAAAAGCCCTCAATTGTATTAATAATAAAAAATACCCCCACAAATTTTCAAAATGTCCCGCAAGAGGCGGTACTGTTCTCATTTGGAATCACTAGTTTGCATTGTCCCCCACTCAGGACTAATGTTAAAAATGAGAGCTATGTGTGCTAATGGTTAGTGTCAGGAATATTTTGTTGCTTTTCACACTGCACAGATCTAAAGGAGGAAACCTTAATTGGAACAAGAAAGGTCAAGGAAAAGGAATAACCTCTTAATTGTTACTGCTTATTCTGGGATTTGTGAGAAAATGTAGTTCTAGATGTGCAATTGTACTTTAGAGCCAGTTTTGTTGAAATACATCTCTTTTTTACTTAAAAAAGGTTTGTAAATACAGAATGCTTACCAATGTTGCAAATATTCTTGAGTAACCCATTGCTGTCAAGTCAATTCCAACTCACAGCAACCGTACAGGACAGAGTAGAACTGCCCCATAGGATTTCCAAGGAGCGGCTGGTGGATTTGAACTGCCAGCATTTTGGTTAGCATCCTGAGCTCTTAACCACTGCGCCACCAGGGCTCCAGATATTCTTGAATAGCATAGTGTAATTAAAAGCTCAAATGTTGGATATGTTATTGTTAGGTGCCGTCGAGTCGGTTCCAACTCAGTGACCCTATAGGACAGAGTAGAACTGCCCCATAGGGTTTCCAAGGAGCGGCTGGTGGTTTTAAACTGCTGACTTTTTGGTTAGCAGCCATACTCTTAACCATTATGCCACCAGGTCTCCAAAAAAGATGTCCTAAATTCAAATCCCAACTCCTTCACTTTCTAGCTGTGTAATTTTGGGCCAGTTATTTAACATCTCTCTGCCTCTAGTTTTTTTCTTTGGTAAAATGGGGATAATAATATTACATGTCTTATAGGAATGTTGAGGTTTGACTAAACATAAGCCACTTTTTATACAGGTAGGTAAGGTTGTAAATAACTTGATAGAGTTTTGTAACTAATACAGCATATAATATATATATGCTCTAGTACTCGGTTATTTTTTTTTTCCTTGTATAAGGTGTGTTTCATAGGCAGAAGCAATGTTGGAAAATCCTCCCTAATAAAGGCTTTATTTTCACTGGCTCCAGAAGTTGAAGTCAGAGTCTCCAAAACACCGGTATGTTGAAATTTTAAAATATACCTAGACTATCTCTGAATTGACTGAGATGAATAATAAATGTTAAGAGGTGCAAGAAATCATAATTGTTATCTAAGTTCCTGGAGAAGTGGTTTCTTCCAAGCAGGTAGTAAAGTAAAACATTTCATTAATGCCTGTGTATTTCTCTGAAAAAAAGATTGTGACTGAATTTATTTTAGTAGTCTCATCACTAGCTTGAGGAAATTTTCCTTTATTCAGATATTTTCCAAAGAGTTGCTAAATAAAGTGTTCTGTTGTCATTTTATGGGAGCAGTAGTGGTTCAGTGGTAGAATTCTCTTCTTCCGTGTAGGAGACCTAGGTTCACTTCCCAGTGAGTGGACCTCATGTGCACCCATCTGTCATTGGAGACCTGCATGTTGCTATAATGCTAAAGAGGTTTTAGCAGAGCTTCTAGACTAAGATGGACTGGAAAGAAAGGCCTGGTGATCTAATTCCGAAAATCAGTCATTGAAAATCCTATGGATCACAATGGTCTGATCTGCAACCAACAGTAAGATGGCACAGCACCCAGCAGCTTTTTGTTCCATTGTGCACGGGGTTGCCATGAGTGAGGGGTCCCTTGATGGCAGCGAACAACAGCAGTAACATTGTCATTCTACATTTGCTTCTAGGACAGTCATCCTCTAGTTCTGCACTGATTTTAGTGGAAAAAGCTTTAAAGTTGTTTTTTTTTTTCCTTCCTTCTACAATCTTTTTGGAGCCCTAGTGGCATAGTGGTTAAGAGCTCAGCTGCTAACCAAAAGTTTGGCAGTTCAAATCCACCAACCACCCCTTGGAAATCCTATGGGGCAGTTCTCGTCTGTCCTGTAGGGTGGCTATGAGTCGGAACTGACTCAACGGCACCTAACAACAACAACATAATCTTTTTATACCTTGCTACTCTATAAGAGACCCTGGTGGTACAGTGGTTAAACACTTGGCTGCTAACCAAAAGGTTGGCATTTTGAACCCACCAGTCACTTTCAATGGGAGAAAGATGTGACAGTCTGCTTCCGTAAAGAATTACAGCCTCGGAAACCCTGTGGGGCAGTTGTACTGTGTCCTGTAGGGTTACTGTGAGTTGAATTCGACGTAACAGCAGTGGGTTTGATTTTTGGTTTGAACTCTTATCTATGCATATATATAGACACATAGAGCTAGAGAGATATAGACAGTCCCTCATTTACCCAAGGCCAAATTATTTGCTTATTATCCAAGCCAGTCTGCTGTATAGCTTTCTGTCTTTTTTTAATTCCTTTCACTTCCTCTTCAATGATGCAGACCTCTCTACCAATATCTGAGATGCCCTCTCCTTAGAACTCACCCCCAAACCCCTTTGCTATGACAAGACCTTCCCACAACACTAATGCTCGCTGCCCCCCTTTCATCATGTGGAAACCCTTCCGTGAGGCTTCATTGATCTTCTCTTCCTCTTCACTTCATATAGTTGATTCTGTGGGTCCATCGCTAATGATTGGCAGAAAGTGTTGACAAAACCAGTCTTTTCATTCTTTAACCCTGCCATCCTCACTCCCATCCTGCCTCATCACATAACCTAGCTAAACCGTCACTTCTTGCCTTGAGAGGATGTGGAGGAAATGTATTCTTGAATTCCCATTTTGTAATTGTAAAATCATTTTCCTGTGGATACACAGATAAACTGACCTGGAACCTAATTACCATTTATAAAAATCATTCCTCTGAGAATATTTGTTCTAAGTTCCAACTGACTAACTTTTTAAATTGTGTGTCTTAATCTTTCCTTTTCTGGTTAATAAATGTTCTGTGGACACAAAACCATGGATAAACTACTTACCATCTTTACATCAATTTTTGTTGCACAAATATTTTATAATTGTAAAGTCGTACATGCTCTTTAAAAACTGTTTAGTGAAAGCACTACAATGTATGCAGAACATCTCGATTTTAGGGTAACACTAGTCTAGACATACTAAACTATAGTGAAACCTGTGAGAGCCGGAACTTGATGGAACTGCCTTGTTTTTCTAGGTCCCGCGAGTTTTCTGCTTTTGACAGGGCGCAGTCTTACCACTTTTCTTTCGCTGTTAGTGGAAGATATTTGCGTTTTCCTTCTCTGACAGGTTTCCGCCTTATGCAGGTTCTGGCTTTTGCAGGTTTTACTGTATCAGGCTTTGGATCTAGGATTTATGAAAACCTGTATGCCTGAGGGTAAGCATTTTAACCTGACTGTGCCATAATTTGTTTTCTTAAAAGTAGAGATACATTATTCATTAGAAATATTGATTAATGTAATCACACCATTTAGAACAGGCTGACTTTTTCACCAAGAGAGATAGTTACTGAATCAAGAAAGACTCCAAAATATTTGGCCTACATGTTTCTAATATGGAATCTAAATTTCTTCCTAAATCATGGAGATTTTATGATTAAAACAAAATTAATTGGAATGAAGTAGTATGATCTGAGCTTATCTCCAGCTACTTCCCTTCTGTTTTCTTTCACTACCATCATCGGCATAGCTAGGATTTTATACAGAGTACTTAGGCCTTTAATAAGTATTTGTTAATTGCCTAGGTGGAAAACGTTTTGAGCCAAGAAATATATAAAGGACATATTTTAAGACACCTTTTATTTTTCTATTTATTTTATCAGGGGCACACAAAGAAAATGAATTTTTTCAAAGTTGGAAAATACTTTACAATGGTGGACATGCCAGGCTATGGCTATAGAGCACCTGAAGATTTTGTTGACATGGTAGAGACCTATCTAAAAGAACGAAGGAAGTAAGGAAAAATTTTTCTCACGATAGTTATACATTTAACCCTGTAGCACCTTTTCATCAGTAGAGCATTCTATACATGATGAACACTTTAGAAAGGCCATTCCATTCTTCTCATACTATTCTGCAATATAGTATGTAAGACTGAGTATGTACTGCTTGCTTGGTTCCTGCTTGTAGTTAATCCTGATCTGAAATTCAAGTGTTTTCCTAAATAGAGAATATATAAAGTACTTCAGCAGAGTCAGTTTATTAATTTTTAGCTTAAATTTTAGAAGTCAGACTCTTAGCTGGCTCATTTTGAAAATGAAAATTCTTGGTTAATGTATCAAACTTACATAAACTTCAGTAAATTCTGATCATTCTTAAAATGCTTCTGACGTCACATCTTCTGTAAATGTTACCTTTTTTGTCTCCGTTGGTAGTCAGGTGACAGTTTTGTGTTTTAAGAATTGCAGAATATATAAAAAAATTAATGTTAAAACTTTTGAAGTATAAAAAAATGTTCACACATATTTTGCTTGTTGTAGCTTTGCAGGCTAATGGTAATTTTCTTAGAAACTAAGATGAAATATTAATCCAAATATAGTGTGTCTGGTTCCTGTTACATGTTGGTCTTTAAGGTAATATTAAGAATGTTAAACATTTCTGCAGTAACTTAATTGGATTCATGTCTCTTTCTCCCACTAGAATCTAAACTCTTAGAGGAAGGGGCTCCTTCATAGTTATCTCCAGTCCCAGACAGTATTTTACGTTTAATATATGCCTATTGAAATAAATTTATATTAGTGAATTTAGTTATTGAAAATAAACAGCATTGAAACCTGTTGGACCGTAGGATGAACTTCCTAGTGAATTGAGAATTCCTTTTGCCTAAAGAAATTTTTAAACTTTGGTTTGATAATCTTTCAAAGGGAAATTTCTCAGTCCAGTGGGGGCTGGGAGAAGGGGATAAACAAATGGGTATATTTTATATTGCCATTAATCTTCATTTCTTCATTCCTATAGCTTGATGAGAACGTTTTTGTTAGTGGATAGTGCTGTTGGAATTCAAAAAACAGACAATATCGCCATAGAAATGTGTGAAGAATTTGCATTACCTTATGTGGTAAGTATTTCTTTTGAATCATGGTTGCTGTTAGAAATAATTCTATGTGTGTGTTGTGTGTGTGCTTTTTAATGAATGAGCAGGTCTTGCCTTCTCAGAAAATAGAGATAAAGAAAATAAAGAGTACTTTTTGAATAATCTTTTCCATTATCAACTATTAATATTAAAATAAGTTCTGTGGCACTTTTATTCTCTGTTCCTTCTCTCGGTTTTAAGTTTTTGAAATTATAGTCAAAGCATAGCTTTCATTTAATGTTCTTAAATGCTTTCCTTTTTCATGTTTTTTTTTTCTTAAGGCAGTGTAAATATTTGTCCAAACATATTAGTAGCTCCTTAACAGCAGCTTGGCAGATAGTACTTATCAGAATGTAAATATAACAATGGGAAATGAAAACTTTTAAATCAGTTTGGAATTTAAGACCCATTCCAAGAACAAAGCAGGCTTCTGCACACATAGTAGGATTTTTATTCTTAAAGAAAACAGAATTCCTTCTGGGAGTATCTGACCAGTGTTCTTTCTGACTTGACCTAGAATACGATGCAGACTAGTTAATTTTGCTTTGTGAGGCTTCTGGATAAAATAGCACTCTTTTAAGTTCCTTTCTAAGGAAAAGTGAAGAGCCCAATGACTATAATTTGGTTTCAAACAAATGTCAGAAAACCACTATAAAATATAACAATGGAATTCAGTGCAAATCAAACCATGTTACTAGACAGCCACTTTTTTGTGTTGTATGGAATTCCTGGGGTTTGCAAAAGTCATTTGAGACATTAGAAATAAGAGTCAAAGGATTAAGAAACATAGTCTTCCGTAGTAAAAATGCCTAAATATTGCCAAATTGATTTAGTTGATTTGGTGTCGTAAAGTACCAGTTTTTGAAATCATATATTTTCTTCAGTTTTTTTTTTTTTTTTTTTTTTTTAAATAATATTTTATTGTGTTTTAGGTGAAAATTTACACCGCAAATTAGGTTCCCCTTTAACAATTTTTATGGAGCCCTGGTGGCGCAGTGGTTAAAATGATCGACTGCTAGCCAAAAAGTTGGCGGTTTAAAACCACCAGCAGCTTCGTGGAAGAAAGATGTGGCAGTCAGCTTCCATAGAGTTACAGCCTTGGAAACCCTGAGGGGTCGCTATGAGTCGGAATTGACTCGATGGCAGTGGGTTTGGTTTGAACAATTTTTATACAAATTGTTCCATGCCTTGGTTACAGCTGTCAGCATTCTCATTATTTCCATTCTGTTTGTTCTGTTTCCTTAGATTAGCTTCCCTTCCCCTCATCTTCTCACATTTGCTTTTGGGTAAATGTTGACCGTTTGGTCTCATATAGCTCATTTTTTAAGGGATCACATTACTCACTGGTGATGCTGTTTATTTTATAAGCCAGTATATCATTTGGCTGAAAGGTGACCTGCAGAAATATCTTCAATTCCATGTTCCAAGGTTATCTTAGGGCGGTTGTCTTAGGGTTTCCTTTAGTCTGTATCAGTCTAGTAGGTATGGCCTTTTTTAGAAATTTGAATTTTGTTCTAAATTTTTCCTCCATTCTATCCAGGAACTGCTGTTGTGTCCCTGGTGAGAATGATCGGTAGCGGTAGTCGGGCACCATCTGGTTCTTCTGGTCTCAGGTTAGAAGAGGCTGTGGTTCATATGGGCTGTTAGTTCCGTGGATTAGTTTCTTCTTTGAGCCTTTGATTTCCTTCATTCTCTTTTGCTCCATTTGAGTAGAGACCAATAGTCGTATCTTAGATGGCCACTTGCAAGCTTTTAAGACCCAAGATACTACTCACCAAACTAGGATGTAGAACATTATCTTTGTGAACTATGTTATGCCAGTTGACTAAGTTGTCCTCTGAGACTATGGTCCCAAGCCTTTTAACTCAGTAAATCAATCCCATCAGTTGTTTGGATATGTATAGGAAGTCTCCATAACTGTGCCCTGTATGTGGTTTATTATATGTGTGGATATATATGCAGCACATATAAACATGTATATTCGTATGCCTACAGATACATCTATACATGTACGTGCATTCATTCGCATATGCCTCTATACACATATATGCATTATTTTCTTCAGTTTTAACTAGAAGATATATAGTGTTTTCTTCTTTGGAAAACGGGTTGGGATAGAGGAATTATATCTCACTTAAATAACAGCAGATTCGCTTTTATGAGGAAGGACTCCCATTTGGAGGGATTCATGGGTCATTAGAACCCATACACTTTCTGCGCTTCCTCACTCCTTCTGCCTTTAGTATTTTTATGATTGAAAAACATAAGTGATTAGTCAGGAAATTTAATTTTATAGAAATACTCTCAATTTCCCAGAAAAACGTGATGGATCAAGGTTTTACTTTTTAATTGATTTGCAATCATCTGTGCCTTGATCCTCCTCCAGCACTTCATTGTCTTTGGACAAGTAAAATTCTAGGCTTACTTGGAACGTAAGTATAGTGGATACAACTTAGAAGTAACCTGATTTCTGATTTTTCCATTAGGTCATTATATATAAGATTAAACCATTTTGTAGGTAGAAAATTATCACAATTTGGCAATTTTATATGGTTCAACCTAATAGTACTCATTTAATATGTCTCAGACCACGAGGTATATAGTGATCACATGAGACATTTGGCTTGTGGCAATTGCAGATACGGCTCTTGAGTCCTTTTCACCTGACCTTGAATCCAAGATCTCATGGCCCTGTGTTGTTGAAGCATAGTTAAATAGCAAACACATAGGGAATACTTCACATGCTTCTTACATTGGCTCAGTTCATCTTCACAGCGACTCCTTTAGGTGGGTATTGCTTTTCTTTATGATGAGGAAACTGAGGCACAAGGAGATTAAGAAACTTGCACACGTCACGTAGTTGTAACTGAAAAATTGTATAAAATGTATAAAACTAAGAAATACTTTATTTCCAGTGCTTAAAACTTTGTTTTCTTATAGATAGTATTAACAAAAATTGACAAATCTTCCAAGGGACGTCTTTTAAAGCAAGTGCTTCAGATCCAGAAATTTGTTGACAGTCAAACGCAAGGATGTTTTCCTCAATTGTTTGCTGTAAGGTAAGAGTTTTAACTTTTTATATGTCCTAGCCAGCCTCTAGTATTAAATCACTCTTTCTTAAATGAAGATGTCATTTAGAATTAGAGAAGTTTGGAAGGCCGTGCACTTGGCCATGAGTTGTTGGTGCAGTCCAACAGCACTTTATTTTTTTCTTCCTCATATTCTTTCTTCCTTTTGCTGGTTCTGGTTGGATTTTCCTTGCACTTTATTCTCTTCCTGCCTCAGCCTACCTCATCCCTAGACCATAGCAGAAGTGAAAACTTTTTGCCTTGTAAAATTAACTAAACAACGCCCACAATAAAGATACTACCATCTCTTTCTCAATTCCAAAAAAAAACCTGATACAGGTTGTGAGGGAATTTTCCTTTAAAAGGACCGTACATAAAGAAGAAATGCTTCATATACATTAGAAATAAGCATTGGTAGCAGAGGGACTGGTCATTATCTGAGCTGGTAACTTTTGAGATATTATAATGTGGTTTAGGGATGAAGCACCGGCCTGTACTTTCATTGTTCACCTTGGATACAGGTAGTGATTTGTACTGTGGAAGAGGTATAGTGATTTTCTTACTCTGATTTCTTTCTGGAAGGCATTATGCTAGTTGCTATGAGAACATAATGAATGCAAGTAATACTTTATTATGTATGAAAACTATCTCCTAAATGTCATTTTAGGTTCTGCCAATCTAGATCAGACTTAAATTGTTTGGACAAGTAAAATTCTGTCAAAATCAAATCTTCATTCATTCCTACAAAATGCCACTTCTCCCTTGACTTACAGTAAAAAATTCATCATGTTCATTTGCCTATGTCCATATATATAATGGAAAATCTTAGGGGCAGGACTGAAATCTTAATTCTTCTTAGAACCCTGAGCATTGTCATACAAAAACAGCTATTTCTTTTAAGTCTTTGATACAAAGGAAGTGAGGCTTTAGCTAAAAAGGCAACACAGACAGGATGGGCAAATCATGGCTTAACTGCAACATTTATTGAAAGAAATTGGTCATTTTAGTTGACTATAAACTGTCAGTTTAGTGTAATGGGGCTGGGGAAAGAATGCCAGTGTTTTCTTGAGCTATGTTAATAGAATTAGGGTGTTCAAAACTACTGAGGGCCGTGTGCCACTAGACCAGTCACATCAGACTGTGGCTCAGCATTAAGAAGAACAGTTAGACCTATCTGAAAACAGATGGCCTTGGGGGATGTTACCAGTAATTAAAACACTTAATTGATCCTCACAGTAAACATCTCTATTTCAAAGATAAGGTTGTGTCAGAGAAGTTAAGTCAATTCCAGAGAGCCATTGGCTGAAATAGAAAGAGCATAGTCCTTAGTGTCAGACAGCCATGATTTCTGGCTTTCAAGAACGTCAGCATTCACTATTCTACAGTGACCATTTACAGCAGGAAGTTGGCAGGCTATACTCTCTAGCATGACCAAGCCCCAGTCCAGCCCTCTAGAAGGGAATCTGGCCTTCCCACAAAATAGTTAATATGAAAATCGAGTGTTATTTCCTTCTCTTCTTGTGTATTGTTGGTAGGGGAAAGATGGAGGTGTGGGGTAGATACGTCTTTTATAAGCCTGTAGGCAAAAGGTTAAGTGCTGACCTTCATGTTGCAACTCTTCCCCAGCAGGATAGAGAAGTATAAATGGTGAAAGGCCCTATAAGGATTGATGCTGCGATCAGTCTGTTAGCATTTTTTATACGTGGTATGCAAAAAATACATAAGTAGGCACAGTATAATTGTTTCTGTGATTTTCTATGTAGTGAAATTCCAAGCAGATAAGAACTCACTCTTAAGAACAGAAGAAATTATCTGAGTTGCCAGAAATGTAGCAGATGAGTTCAAGATGCCATATTTAGTGGATGGATGGATAGATATTAGAAAAAACTGAAAAGAGTGTAAATTATTAAAGTGATTGAATTTTTGTCACAAAAAGGAACAAACTAAAGAAATTAAGACTCTTAGAAAATAGAAAGCAAAATAGAAGATATGAAATTTTTAGAATCACGAAGGATCAGATTTTAGAATACTAGAAGAGGCTAGAGAAAGAACAGAAAGAACAAGTTAAAGGACGTTCTGCTTCATAGATGGAACTTGTAGGTATTTGTAATTATATATTTTTTTTAAGTTTAGATTACTTTAGATTTATTATTATCCCTGAGATAAGGAAGAAAGTGATTTTTCCTTTCTTTTCTTTTCACAGTGCTGTAACCTATTCTGGAATCCATCTGTTGAGATGCTTTATAGCACATATAACAGGAAACCTTAAGGCTAATGACTCCCAGTTTAGCTGAAGATTCAAAATTCTTTGTCAGTTGGAGTTAAAAACACCTAGAAGAATTTCAGCATTGTTTGAAATGTTGTGTATTTGTAACTTGCAGGATTGCTTTAGCTTTAAAATCTGCATCTTCCCAAAGAATGAATTGTGTGTGAGAAAAAAAAGTTTACAAATAATTGAATTATGCTGTTCATTAGAACAGATACTAGCTGTTTTTCCTGTTTAACAAACTGACAAGCAACAGCATACAGAAGTCCAGAAAAGGAAAACTGATTACTACTGTGTAGAGAAGGGCTTGCCATGTTATTTACTGAGCTTTTGTCTTTTAAGAATGTCTATTATGTATATATATTTTAAATATTAAAATGGGCTAGGTAAAAGGGCTGCTTGTGTGTTAAGTAGGTTGATGGATAAATGTTCCTTTGTCTGCCTGTAATTTATCTTCTTTCCTGAGTCTTTCTCTGAATATAAAAAAAATTATTCTTGAAACAGTTGGTCTGTGTTAGAAATACTAGTACTTTCTGCCTAGGATCATTCACCTTTGTAGGTAGAACATAGGATTCTGAATGAGAAGACCAGAATTCTATTTCCAGTTCTAATATTTACTATATGCTGGATTTTGGACAAATTACCTGATTTCTTTGAGCCTCATCTGTTACTGTAACCTCACAAGTGATGAGGATTAAAATGGTATTACACGAGGTAATATATGTGGGTGTGCCTGACTCAAGCCATGATATTTTCAGTCACTTCATATGCATGCTAAAGCTGGACAGTGAATAAGGAAGAACAAAGAAGAATTGATACTTATGAATTATGGTGTTGGTGAAGAATATTGAATATACCATGGACTGCCAGAAGAATGAACAAATCTGTCTTGGAAGAAGTACAGCCAGAATGCTCCTTAGAAGCAAGGATGGCAAGACTTCATCCCATATACTTTGGACATATTATCAGGAGGGACCAGTCCCTGGAGAAGGACATCATGCTTGGTGAAGTAGAGAGCAAAAAAGAGGAAGACCCTCAACGAGATGGATTGACACAGTGCCTGCAACAGTGGGCTCAAACATAGCAGCGATTGTGAGGATGGCGCAGGACCAGGCAGTGTTTCATTCTCTCGTACATAGGGTCGGAACTGACTCAATGGCACCAAACTACAGCAACAAGAATACATAGGAAAAGGACATCTGCATATTTGTAAAGCAAAACCAGCCAAAGAGTACAGCAGAATTCACAGGTGGATTTGTCACAGAAAAAATCCATCATGCAGGAAGTAACCTGTTCTGTAATGAAAGGCAAAAGACAAAAATAGCTTAAGTGACAAAACTGATTTGCAAAGGGCAAGAGAAGAAAGTGTGACAATTTAGAACTGGTGTGTTAAGATTCAGAATGGAAAGAAAAAGCCTTACCTTGAACTGAAGTTAACGGAAAAGGTCTTTATGAAGATGCCACTGACCTGTCACAGAAATGGTTTAACTTTTCAAAGTGAGGCTGAATGTGAAAGGTTATAGCTATAGAAAACCTTTTGCCATAAGTCGATTCCAACTCATAGCGACCCTATAGGACAGAGTAGAACTGCCCCAGAGCTGTAGCACTGGATAAAAAAAATTAATGCTGTAAAACCACGTTATGACTTTTTTATAAGAACTCAATTCTGAATATATTTTCAGTTTTATATTTGATAGAGCTGGTCTATTTTATTCTAACCAGCAGTGTTTTGAGCAGAAAAGACGTATCTGTAGGCGTTCCTGAAGTAAAATATATGGTGATGTCGCAGTGGCGGCGAATGTCGGGGCGGCAGAGACAGTAACCAAACACAACTCTTACGGAGAAGTGGGGCCAGGAGGGTCACTCTGAGGAGTCGACCCCGGCTTCAGTCCCAGGAGTTTATTTTATAGTCAGTACAGCAAACAGTGAAGCAAATAACACAACACTGGGCTCTGGGTGAGTAACAAGTTTCGGGCAAGGGAGAAGGAATTCAGGTAAACAAGCCAATCAGTAACAGGGCAATAGGTTTGGGAAAACAAATCGTGCCTAATCTCATTCTTATCACTGGCAAGTCTCCAACATGTCGTATACAGCATAGAGGCCTGTGGGGGCTGCAGTTGTCAATAGTGCAGCCATGTTTAAATGGCATATATCCCACGTGGTGATAAGCGAATTATCTTAGAAGCCATCTTTCTGCCTGCCAGTGTTACTTTACTGCTTATCTTAGCCTTGGTTCCCCTAAAAGCAGAACCTGAGACAAAAGCTTGCATATGGGTAGTTTGGGAAGTGATCCCAGTGATCCCAGTGGAGTGAAATGGAAGAAAAACCAATCAAGGATGCATTGAGTTGGCCACACTACGGCCACTAGTGCTTCATTTTGAGGAATCTTCTGAGGAGTCTTTTGAAATGTGCCTCTCAATTGTTGGGGTGGTAGGGGGAGAGGTGGCCTCACAGTTCTTCCAGGCTGTACGTGCCCAAGAGCCAGGCAGTTCCTGCAGTTTGTCAGAGGCTGGGGGCAGGAAGTAGGAGGTGCCTGGAGCAGGAGACAAGGTGTTTGTCAATACTGCTCTGAAGTGGTTGCCACAGCAGTGGCTTAAGTAAGGCCAAGAGGAAAAGTGACACGCGGGAGCTGCCGAACAACGCTGGTGAATTACCTGTGTGCTTTAATGCCACCAGAAACAATACAACTGGTATTTGTTAAGTGTGACCCTGACCAGTAAAGAAACATTTATTTCTATGTAATGTACTGGATAAGTATGTTGGTATATTTTCTGTTTTTAAATTTTACAACAAATTTCAGTTATTTGGGAAAATAACTTATATAGAATACTATATTCCTTATAAATATATAAATTATTATTTTGTGGACACATATGAAGTTTTTACTATTTTTGCCAGAATTGTAAGGGGTGGGAGATAGAAGATGAAAGAAAGAAACTTACTCCAAAGGAGCATTAATGAAATAGAGCGGGGGAAAAAAAATGCTAGGCTGATAGTCCAATCCAGGTTTTATAGTTCTTCCTCCTTAGACCACTCACTACACCACTTGGGTTTTTCCAGTGAGGGACAGACATTATCTCCCAAGTCCCATTCAACTATAAAAGTTGATTCTGGAACAATGCCACTTCAGATGAAGAAACCCAAGCCCAGGGAAACTGACTCGCTCAGTGGGGTCATACCCAAATAGAAGCAAAAGCAAGACTGGACCTTAAATCTAGCTCCGAGGGACCATATTTTTAACCTTATCTTCTGAATCAAAAATTGGGACATGAACTCTTAAAAAATAGGGCTACTTAAGGGAAGTGGGTGCGTGAGTATAAACAACTCCCAGGAAATAAATCAGGCCCTAGAGTCAACAAAACTGTATACCAGTTACTTAACTAATTCACCTTCATTTCCCAATATGTAATGGGGGTACACTGAATGTAAGGCCACTTATGAGTCAAAGGCAATTTCTAGACTTAACATGATATCTCTTTGGTATTCTTCATGCTTTAAGGTACAAAGTAGTTACTACCACTTGATAGGAAGTCAGGAAGAATGTAAACAGTGAAAAATAACTAGAGATTAAAAAACTAGATTAAATCAGGATGTTTAACAAGGTTTCAAGAAAGTAGACAGACCAGTGTTTATCTAACCAGATTGTGGGCCAAAGGCATCAAAATCTCTTGGGCTCCTTGTTAAAAATGCAGACTTCTGGCCCCACCCCAACCCATCTTTATCAGTCTCACGGTGGGGCAGGGATTCTGCATTTTTAAACAATATTCCAGGTGATTCTTAAGGCAGCCTGAAGTTTGAGAACCACTGGTATAGACAAGTGGGAAAATGTACAGCAGCCAGACAGGGAAAGGACCAGGCCAGATAAAGAACAGAAAAGAAATACAGAAAATGAAAGGAGGGCCAAGGAAAAGGATGTAGCATATACTAGGGTGGTGTTTTCTTTTTCTGTAAATCTGTAACAATTTATAAAACTTGAGGATATAACAACTTACCAAAGTAAAGGTTATTAACCTAATTCTAGTAAGCTGTAACATTTGAAAGATATCTCAAGGTTCACATCATTACAAATGATTATAAATGTATGTATTGTCCTCATCGCTAGGTCTATTTTGTGTCTCTTGGCTTTATTTTTCATTTTACTTTCTGTCTTAGTTACCTAGTGCTGCTATAATAGAAATACCACAAGTGGGTGGCTTTAACAAACAAATTTTTCACAGTTTAGGAGGCTAGAAGTCTGAATTCAGGGCACCAACTCTAGGGGAAGGTTTTCTCTGTCAGTTCTGGAGAGGGTCCTTGTCTCTCTTCAGCTTCTATTCCTTGGCTCCTTGGTGACCCTCATGTGGCATGGTATCTATCTTACCCCATGTCTGCTGCTGTTCTTCCTTACTTAATCTGTTCCTTTTATATCTCAAAAGAGACTGATTCAAGACACACCCTACACTGATACTGTCTCATTTTCAAGCACATAACAAAGAAAACCCATTCCCAAATGGGATTATAACCACAGGTGAAAGGGTTGGGATTTACAATGCACATTTTTGGTGGACACAATTCAATCCATAACACGGTCCTACTTCTGCTTTGCTATCCTGTTATATTTCATGTATAGCCATAAGCCGCCTTAAATCCTTTTTGAAAAAAGGATGATTTTGGAATAAATCACTGGCACCCAAATAAACAAAACAGTAAAAACCTTTTGGAGAACTTCAAAAGCATTTTAATGTGGGCCCATGAGATAACGTGAACAAATGAAGTGAAGTAATGGTTGTGACCAATTAGTGGCAAAACTTTGAATCCCTTTGATGATCAATTCTAGTCTATAATAAGCAAGAACACAACCATCAGAAGCAAGAAACGTTGGTATGCTGAGGTGGACTTACCCATGATGGAGCCAGTAAGGCAAGTGATCTTTCAGGGGCTTCCTTGCTGCTCCCCACTTCTACCCTAGCCCCACATCCTTCAAGGCACAGAGTAGGCTTTTGCAAACCTAATTATTCCAAGTCTTAATCCCTGGTAAATCATAAAATTGTTCAGTTTTTCAGGGACATGCCAGCCTTAGTCAAGGAACTACATCAGATACTCAAGGGCAGGCTGTGGCAGATTTTCCATCTTAACCCCTGGCTCCTAGTTGAAGCCAAGTAAGTATTTGTTCATTAAATGGCACAAAGATACTTTAAATATTTATTGAACTGAAAACTCCCATGCAGTGTTGCACGAAAGTAGCTCCACTCTCAGTCAAAGCGGTACTTCCAGATAGCAGCAGCTCCACGTAGAACAGCAGAACCCTGGAGCAGCTTGTTAGCACTTCAAAGTGATGAACATCTAAACTCCCATTAAAGCAAAAATGTCATCAATGTCATCTCTCTGCTTAATAGTTTCTGATGTATTATGTTCACTCGTTTGGGTCATTGTCCATGAACCAGTTTCATTGTCATTGCTTTGTGTGAGATTTTCATGGTTTTGTTTCTTCTTAGTTCTCACAACAGGGTTTGAAGCTCTGCTACCTATGAGCTGCTTGCTGTAAGGGTAGAGATCAGCTCTATGAACCGTGCGGTGGGAGAGTCTTCGTTTAGCACTGGTGTCTGTAGCACCCTTCTGCGTCCCTTGAGGGAACTGGTGAATTTCCTTTAAAAGGGCTGACTGCAGCTTTCTCTGCGGTTTCCTTCGTCTCAGTAAAAATTTATTCTGTGACCTTCTTTGACTCAGATGATGCTTTGAAGTTTTGTTACCTGAGCCACGAAGAATGCAGTTGCAAATAGATGTTTTTATGCACTCTAATTTCTTCGGCAAGCTTTAAAGGACAGAGAAAGGAAAAATCTGAGCTTGTTAAGATGCAGAAAAACATTCTCAAGCACTTTTAATTTGTCTCCTTTCTAGCTCTAGCAACTGCCAACTAAACAGAAAAGAAAGTACACAACTTATTTGCAAGTCCCATGCCTATGTAAGGCATTCTGCTGTGTGGATCATAACAAATTATGGATAACACTGCAAAGAATGGGAATTCCAGAACACTTAATTGTGCTCATGCGGAACCTGTACGTAGACCAAGAAGCAGTTCGAACAGAACAACGGGATACTGCATGGTTTAAAATCAGGAAGGGCGTGTGTCAGGGTTTTATCCTTTCACCGTACTTACTCAGTCTGTATGCTGAGCAAATAATCTGAGAAGCTAGACTGTGAAGAAGAACATGGCATCAGAATTGGAGGAAGACTTATTAACCTGTGATATGCAGAGGACACAACCTTGCTTGCTAAAAGTGAAGAGGACTTGAAGCACTTACTGATGAAGATCGAACACTACAGCCTTCAGTATGAATTACACCTTAACGTAAAGAAAACAGAAATCCTCACAACTGGACTAATAAGCAACATCATGATAAATGGGGAAAAGACTGAAGTTGCCAAGGATTTCATTTTACTTGGATCCACAATCAACGCCTATGGAAGCAGCAGTCAAGAAATCAAAAGACGCATTGCATTGGGCAAAATCTGCTGCAAAAGACCTCTTTAAAGTGTTAAAAGGCAAAGATGTCACCCTGAGGACTAAGGTACGCCTGATCCCAGCCATGGTATTTTCACTAGCCTCATGTGCTTGCAAAAGCTGGACAATGAATAAGGAAGACCCAAGAATTGATACATTTGAATTACAGTGTTGGCAAAGAATACTGAATAGACCACAGACTGCCAGAAGAACAAACACGTTTGTCTTGGAAGAAGTATAGCCAGAATGCTCCTTAGAAGCAAGGATGGCAAGACTTCGTCTCATGTACTTTGGACATGTTATCAGGAGGGACCAATCCCTGGAGGACATCATCATGCTTGGTAAAGTAGAGGGTCACCAAAAAAGAGGAAGACACTTGGAGTGTAATGGATCACTGTTGTGTGGCTTTTCTAGCCACGGTCTTGTAACTCCCACCCAAGTGATTGGGCAGGACTGCAGATAATTGTGGCCCACCAAGGGGATTGGGCAGTTTTTCCTTAAAAGAAGGCCAATTCCAGAGCAGAAAGGAGAGCCCACCACCACCAAGGAAGAACAGGCAGAAGCTGGCACATCCTTTGGACCCAGAATCCCTGCACTGGGAGGCTCCTGGGACGAGACAGAGAGTAAGCTGTAACCTGAAGATGGTGAGAAGCGGTGGCAGGAGAGACCTGGCAGCAGGAGACAGCATGGTGGGCTTCCCAGCCCATGAAGCAAGAAAGCTGAGTGCCTTTGGGCAGAGAGGCCTAGGACCAGGGAAAAGGTGTGCCTACGAGCACTGCTGGGAAGAGGCTGTCCTTATGGAAGAACTGTATCCTTGAGTGTTCCTGATCCTGAATTGTAACCTGTTAATTCCCTAATAAGCCCTATAATCTTGAGTATGGTCTGTGAGAACTGTGAGTACTGTGTGGCCATTGCAGTGAATTATCGAACCCAGTACAGAAGTAGAGAGTGTCATGAGAGGGACGGTTGGTGTCGGAATTCATAAAGATGGCAGAGAGAGGAGGTGTGTCTGACCCGTCCTCACAGGAATCAGTCCTGGGCTGTTGATCTTAATTCTCCTTCCCCCTTGTGAGGTTGGAGGTCAGACACCACCCCCAAGCCATTTTTACTACCCTCAACAAGATGGATTGACACAGTAGCTGCAACAATGGGCTCAAACACAGCAACGATTGTGAGGATGGCGCAGGACCAGGCAGTGTTTCGTTCCGTTGTACATGGGGACGCTATGAGTTGGAACCGACTTGATGGCACCTAACAACAACATGCCTGTGTACAATCCCAGAATCACAATGAAAAATAAGGAAGGAGGGGTTTCAACCCAAATCTGTCTTTTCAGATCCCAACTTGCAACTCAGGTTGTAGGCAGACGTACTCCATTATGCTCCCAAAGTGAAGTAACGCATGTAACTGCCTGGGAAGGTAGCTGAGCAGTGAAGATACCTCCACACTTTAGAGCCAGAGCTTTTCCCTGCAACCTGCTAACTTGTCCATAATATACCAGCAGTGGAGCTGGAAAAAGGATGTATCACAAATGGCAGAATCTGCCAGTGCACAGGAATCCCCATCTGGATAAGCAACTCGGGTTGTGGCAGGAAGTTGACAAGGAAAAAGGAATAAAAGCGAAGAATCAGAAGACAGGGCTTGCACTAACTGACAGCCTTGAGCTACCCTAAGTGTGACTCTCTGTCAGTTTGGAAATTCAGAACTCAAACAGCTGATTATTTTAGGTGTTTTGCTTCTGGTTAGGCTGCCCTGCCACAGGGCACATCAGTGTCTGCTGAACTGCCTGGCTACGCGGGAGGATCAGATTTGGAGATTAGCATGAACCAGTACTCCCAGCCCCACCACCCTCTGCTTTTATTTTTTAAACAAATATAAAACTTTGAGGAAGACCATTATAATGCAGTAATTCACAGTCTCTTTGTTTTCTAAACCATTTTCTTGTCTTACTACAACAGTGACTTTTAAGTACCTGAAATGGAGATAGGCAGAATGAAAAAAAAAATCAGAGGACCTGAACTAAGTTCTAGATCACCAGTTCCAACACCTTGAACAAAATCCTCCAATTCCTCATCTATAAAACCGGAGTAATACTGCCCACCTCAGAGTTACTGTGGACGTCAAGCCAGCTGTCAAATGTATTATAGATATAATGTATTACTGAAATGGCAAAACAGAGCAGGAGGAAAGACAACTGTATTTCTAAGGGGTACAGAATAATGATTTAATGAAACTCCCATTTGTTACCCTTCTTGTTAGTTTTTAATCATTATATCCTCTGCCTCACCCCACCCTGACTTTAAGCCCAGTCGTGAACAGAATGCCTGTCTGCATCTCAGGCTGAGTTTCTGCCCTAGAAGGACTCCCTTTCTGATGGCTACAGGCCTTTAGGGGTCCCCAGTGTAAAACCTCTCCAAGCAGTTCATCTCCTAGAAATATTCGACACCTTCTGCCCTGGCTTTTAATGAAAGCCCTCATTATATATTACTAGTTTCCTAAAGAGGGAGTATCTTCTCCATAATTTTTAAAAAAGAAAGTTTAACAGATTTTGGGAAGTTAAAGTGATTCATCCTGAACAGATCAACGTCTGTACCTACAGATAACAAATAACGGTGGATGCAGAGTATTTCTGGAAGGATACATAAAAACTGGCCAGACCGATTGCCTCTGTGAAGGAGAATTAAGGACCTACCTGTATACTCATTTGTGTGTGACATTGCTCCTATGGTTATTATTTTTTCAATAAAAAATATAAAGCTCTAAACCGTCTATCTTTACATAATGCTTCATGCAGTGATGGCACACGATCACAGATAGCCATCCTTAAGCAGTTCCATGAATGTGAGAATCATGGGAAAAGAATAAATCAATAACATAGAGTCGAGCTCCTGTGAACATTAATGCTGACCCTGGCCCCGGCAGTCTGGCGTGTGCCCACAAAGATGGCAGGCACCTCTGCTTCTCCCCAGGCCTCACCCCACTCTCTCCAGCCCTCACCCCGCTCTCCCCAGCCCTCACCCCGCTCTCTCCAGCCCTCACCCCTCTCTCCCCAGCCCTCACCCCTCCAGCCCTC